TGTGGGACTTGAGGTGGCGGCGCAACTTGGTAGCCAGCGTGTAAGCTCGGCCACACTGGCGGCACAGAAAGGGCCTATCCCCCGAGTGTAGGCGCTCATGAGCACGAAGTGTATGTGGGTCTCTGAGGGCCTTCCCACACACAGGGCACAGGTAGGCCTCACCAGTGTGAGAGATGAGATGGCGCCGAAGCTCTGGAAGCTGGGGGAAAGTATTCGCACAATGTGGACATCGATAAGGGCGCTCCCCTGTGTGCAGCCTCAAGTGCCCTCGGAGGCTGCCCCGCTGGCGGAATGCTCGGTCACAGTGTGGGCACAGGAATGGCTTTTCCCCAGTGTGGAGCCTCATGTGGTTCCGCAGTGAACCCTGGGTGGCAAGGTGCCGCCCACACACTGGGCACGGGCACATGGAAGGGGCATCTGGCATCTGGTGTGTCTTTCGGTGTAGCCGCAGGGAAGGTCGTCGAGCAAAGGCTTTGCCACACTGCTCACACACAAAGGGCCGGGCACCTGAATGGACCACCTGATGCTCTCTGAGGTCTCTGCGGGTACCATAAGCCTTGTCACACTGTGAGCAAGGGAAGGGCCTCACCCCTCGGTGGCCCAGCATGTGGGCTTTGAAGCTTTCCTCGGAGCTGTAACTCTTGCCACACTCAGTGCACAGGAAGGGCTTGTGGTCTTTGTGAACAAATGCATGTTTCTTGAGGTGGCACAGCTGCAGGAATGCCTTGCCACACTCCCCACACTGGTATCGTCGCCCCTGCTTTGAGCTTTCTTCTGGGTGAGGAGGGTTAGGGAGCTGGGTTCTGGGCTCTGAGATCTTTACTGTAGACAGGCACTCATTGCTGGGGACATGTAACTTCTTGGCTGGGCAGGTTTGCACCTGGGTCCCTCTGGGAGTTAATAAACTGGCTTGATTGCTCTCTGCACTCTTCTGGGCAGCTGAGTTGCCCTGAGGTTCGGGTAGTAACTGTGGCAGGAAGTCCTTATCCATGCTGTCATCTGGAAGCAGCAGGCCAAGGGGTTGGCTTTCCTTGAAAGGTTGATTCTGGGTTTGGGTCACAGGTCCAGAACCCATCGTATTTTCTTCTTGAATACTATGGGGTAAATCATGACCAGGATCTGAGGAAAAAGGTGGGGTGTGAGGGTAAGCCAAGCTTGGTAGCAGAGAGTATTACTGGGGAGTTATACTCCATGCTTTTTCTTGCAAGGCACCTATTCTTCAGTGGAAAACCACATATGTATCTTCCCTGGGAAGAGCTATACTTTTTTTTCCTGTCCAGTCTCACATACTTCTGGGGAAGCACATCAAAGTGGCCACCTTGTTAATCCCTAGAGTAAGGCCACTCCAGAGTAACGGCCTTCTTCTCAGGAGATACTCATGGGATTGGATTCTCACATCTCCCGGGCTGAGTTCATTTGTAAAATGAAAAACCCTGCCCCAAATCTGGGGATAAGACACAAAATGAGAAGGAGTACTGTTTGGGAAGATGGAGGGTACTAGGACTGGGGAAAAAGAGACGGCAAGATGGGGCTGGAGGGATGGTCCAGCAATTAAGAACACTGCTGTTGAAGGGGACTAGTGTTCAAGTCTCATCACCCACATGGTGGCTAACAACTAGTTCTAGTGGGATCCAGCGCCCTCTTATGGACTCCTCAAGTACTGCACAATGTAGTACACAAACTAAGGCAAAATACCCATGCACCTGAAATAAAAATGTCCTAAGAATGGCCAGGTGGTGGTGGCACACACTTTAATCCCAGTTTTGGGGGGCAGAACCAGGTGGGTCTCCGAGTTCAAGGCCAGCTTGGTCTAAGCTTGGTCTACAGAGCCAGTTCCAGGACAGCCAGGGCTACACAGAGAAACCCTGTCTCAATATCCTCCCACCATAAAAACCAAAACAGCCATTAGAAATTTAAAGTTTTTAAATGTATAACAATGCCAAGAAACAAACAAACAAATGAAAAATTTTGTACAGTTTCCTATCTTCATCAATATAATCATATAATTCTAGGAAACATTTTTTCTTTTTCTTTTTTTGGGGGGCAGGGGGTGCTTTTGAGGCCTGCTTCTGCCTCCCAGTGCTGGAATAAAGGCACACACCACCAATGCCTGGAAATAATCACTATTTTTTACTTTAACAGTTCTGGTTGTTGTATGATGATACCCTACAACAGTTTCTGTTTTATCATCTAGGCTGCCTCAAACTCATGGTAATCCTCCTGTATCAGTGTCCTAAATCCTGACATTATGTGTATGCCACAATGCCCAGCCTTAGGTCATGAGCTTATTTGCCTCTTAAGAAAAATGTTTATTCATGTATTTGTCATTTTCATTTACTTTTCAGTATATGCTGCTGTTGTTCTGAGTTGAAGTTTCCCGTGTAACCTGGGCTGACCTCTAACTCATGATCTTTCTGCCTGAGTGTTGGGATTATAGGAACAGATTACCACACCCAGTTTACTATTCATTTTTAAAATATTTATTTTTATTTTATGTGCTTGATAATTTGTCTGTGTGTATGCCTACGGTGAAGAGTGTTGGGTCCCCTGGAACTGGAGTTACAGACAGCTGTGAACTGCCATGTGGATTCTGAGTCCTTTGGAAGAGCAGCCAGAATGGCCAGTACTCTTAACCACTGAGCCATCTCTCTCCAGCCCCCACAACCAGCTTTTACAGAGACGCCGTTGGTTGTTTGTTTTGAGACAGGGTCACATGTAGCCCAGAAGGCCTCAATCTTATGTGGCCAACACGACCTTGAACAAGTGTTCTTTGGGCACATACCTGTACAATAGTCTGCTGCATGCTCTTGGGGGGAGGCTACTTCTTCCTGTAGAGCAGACTCCTCCTTTGCCACCACTACTATAGCTGCTTCTTCTGCTAGCCTGGGCTGCATGACACTCAGGCTCTTGGAGGGATACTGTGAGCACAGCAGCAACTCAGAGCCTGGCAGCACAGTCTGGTATACCTGCAGGTGAAGCTCCTCATTGATCCAAACCAAGGACACATTTCCATCACTCTGCAGCCTAGTTTGCTGCACCAAACTGCAAAATAAGAGCAAGAGCTGGCTCAACGGGCCTTCTTCCCATGTTCTCCTGACCCCCAGCCACATCTTTGGAAGAACATATTGGAAAAGACCCCTGGGCAGGCAACTAGAATTGGCTTCAGGTTCCATCCCAGTTAAGTATAGTCTGTATGCACACTTGTATAAGTTACCTGATCCAAGCTGAACTTTGCTTCCAGGTACATATGCCTCCCCACAGGCCGAGTGACAGGTCCTGGTATAAAACAATGAAAGCCCTTTTCAACTGCCTTTGGAAGCAGCGGGGGTGGGGGGGGTGTTTCACAAGTAGTAAAACAAAATAAAATCAAGTCTGGCTGCAACATTTCTGGGCTAACTCTAATATGAAACTCTTTTTGTTGTTGTTGTTGGTTTGTTTTTCGAGACAGGATTTCTCTGTGTAGCCTTGGTTGTTCTGGAACTCACTCTGTAAACCAGGCTGGCTTCAAACTCACAGACTTCCACTTGCCTCTGCCTGAGTGCACCATCAGTCTCAGCAGAAAACAACAATTATTTTAAACAATCCTTACTATGCATCCTTTACTTGCATCCTTTCCTCCAGTCTTCCAAATGATCTTTGTAACAGCCATTGCTTTCTTTTACAAGCAATTTTGCTAACTAGTTGATGATGTTCAAATCTTATCTTGGTAACTGATCTAGGTAACCCAGCTTCTGACATCCTAGGTATTCAGCTCACAACTTTTTGCATCTGCTCTCCTTAGTTACTGCAGCTTAGGTAAGGTAAGACAGTCCTGTAGTTAAGGGACAAAAACGACTTCCCATAGCTTTAAATACATTGCTTCTAACGAACTGGAAGAGCTGTCAGGAAATGCATGAACCTCCCCCAAACTTTAAGACAGGAGACGTTCTATTCTTCGATACCTCCTGGTGTGGTGACTTCACTCCCTGGCCCTTCTTCTCCAAGACGGAGTCCACCTCCAGAGGTCCCCAATGCAGTCCAAGCTGCAGGGGCTCTCCGACACACCAGACCCCCAAGTGCTGTTTCCTGGCGCTTGAGGGGCCCACGGCCAAGCCCTGGGGAAGAGTCTTTAGAGCAAGTATGGCAGGGCTCATACCAGGCGGGAAATCTTTGAGGCCCCGAGCAAAGCCTTTTCCAAAAGGGCTCCATCCTGAGTCCTGGCCCAGGCTCGGCTTGGGGGCTGCAGGGAGACGGGGAAGGCAATGAAGGAGCGGCCCACGAGGGCGTGGGGTTGGGGAAAGATGCAGGAGGAAAGTGCAAGGTCTGCTATGCCTTAGGAGTTCAAGGGATAAGCAAGGCTCAACCCCAGCCCCTGAAAAGTTGGAAGTCTAAGCTCTTAAACCCCAGAGCTTTGGAAGGCACGGGGGCAGAATCCCAGGCTAGAGATAAAAAGGGATGTAGGATGGAGGAGGCGTTGACTAGAAAACGCTGGGGCCATCTAGTTCAGGGCTGAGGGTCGCAAACATCACGGATCACTCACGGAGCGGCAGTGTCTTCCTCAAGAGCACATCCTCGGCTTCCTTCATACTGGATCAGAGAGCTCCCGCCACTACCCCTCCGCCGGAAGCGAGCGTTTTTGTCCCGGGTCCTCTCGGAAATAGTCCTTGACTTCCAAAAGAAGGAAAAAAGAAACAATCTCAATGGTTAGGCATCATTGTACCACAGGACTGGGAGTTCAGAAGTACTGGTCAGACAAAAGTCTGTCCGAGAACGATACAAACCTAGGATTCTTGAGGTTCGCTAGTTTCCAGTACCTGGAAAAGCGGAACCAATATGTCCAACCCACCCCCATTTGGGGGAAGCAATGAGTCGGACAGTTCTATTGTCTAACCTGTTAGGCGGGCATTTCGGCAGGTGACTGCCGGAAGTGGGCGGGGCTCCAGGAAAGCCATGTTTGGAGCTGGCATCAAGCCGGAAGTAGGAGGAAGATGTGGCGGAAGAGGATGGGGAGCTGGGGGCCCCGAGGGGGCGGTTCCCGTTCCTCCTCGGAGCCGGATGTTTGCCGAGCTTTGACAGGCGTGGCAGAGGGAGCATTGCCTGAGCGCGGTGAGCTGCGGAGCGCGGGGTCTCGCTGGGCATGGTGGGGGAAGGGGACGAGCTGCTCTGGTCATCTGAAGGGATTAGATCCTAAAGGGGAGAAGCAGAGGCAGTGGCGCAGGAATGGAACTGGGCCTGAGGGCCTTGGTGTCTCCTTTGCTGGGGTTTTACCCCACTTCTGTGTCTGCAATGAGAAGACAGCGACTTTCTCTGACTTTTTCCTGTCCTCTCTCAGGCACAGGCCAACACAGAAGAAACCGGCGGGAGGGAGAAGTCTCCCTGACAGGATCTGGCAGAGCACTGAGAGCGAGAAATTAGGGGGAAGTGATAGACTTTGCCACTTGATAGGTCATGCTTTCTTCTCATTTTCTTGTGAAATGAAGTACACTCAATCTGTTGTTTGTTTTTTGACTATGCAAACGTGATTTTAGTGTAGAGTTGCTGTCCTGTTGTTTTTCCCAGAGTCACCCAACAGTCCGATTCCAAACGCCAGCAAATACTATGACTTAAAGTTGCTACCTCTGTTCTGCCTTGATATGAAAAGTTCTGAATGCCCCCTTTGTGGCGCCTCTTTGAACCCTGTGAATTTTGTGACTGATAGTCACATGAAAGTTGTGGAGGGGTTGACTGTCGCCAAGAGACCACCTCAAACTGGTACTTGTGGATTAAATCTTGCCTCTGGGTTCTATGACCTTTAGCAATTTGCTCACTACCCTCCCTCCCGCCCCCATTTTGCTCAAACTGTAAATGGCTTTGCTAGCATATGCTGAACTAGTAATGCAGTTATGAGGTGAATTTGTGCCCAGCTCATGGTACTATACTGGCTTTCCACAAATGTTGGTTTCTTTCTCCACTTAGGAAAATCATTCATTCATTCAACTAATGACAATGTTTACTATGTGCCAGGCATTGTTCTAAATAGGTGGCTTTGTTTTTCTGAGCTGGAGAGAGGCTCTAGGGCTCTGTGTGTGCAGGCAAAGTGCTCTACTACAGAGGAAGGGAAATTCTAACACAAGATGATAGAAATCATCTTTAGCCTCTGAAAGGCTTTTAAGCAATAATTCTCAGAGGGCTTGTGAAGTCTTTAAAATTGCTTGCAAGATTTCATGGATCTGTCATTTTTCTTAGAGAAAAGTCGACAAATGTCAGAATTGCAGAGATACTTGACTGTTTTGCAAAAGTCAAAGGCTTTGCCTAAAGTGATTTTAAACACTTTGTGAAAGTAAAGGTTTACCTGCTCAGAACAGAGTATTAATCTGAGAGAGAGAAGTGTTTTTGCAGAGTTGAGTAGGACTCACAGGTGGTGGTTTATTTTATTTCTATCATCTTGTGTTAGAATTTCCCTTCCCAGGCTTTCCTCATCTCCCACTGAACAGCAGATAAACATCCCCACTTAGAGAAGGCAATAGAAGGGAGTGAGAGAGGCCAGGAGCTGGACACTACTGGGATTAGTTTTTCTGGTAAAGGAGGTTGTGTGGGAGTTGAAGGAGGTCAGGTCTAGAACTGACAGGATCAAGGTTCCTGGGAAAGAGCTGGGAGTCCAGTTCTGCTTTCTTCTTGATAGTCTTGCTCTTCCTCCCTCACATGTAGCTCAGCTCTAGTTGCTTCTTGTTTTGTTTTGTTTTGTTTTGTTTTTGTTTTTAGTTTAGTTTTGTTTTGTTTTCTGAGACAGGGTTTCCCAGTAGGTATAGAGCCAGTCCTGGGACTTGCTCCCTAGACCAGGCTGACCTTGAACTCAGAGATCCACCTGTCTCCGCCTTTGCCTCTGCCTCCTGAGCACTGCCTGCTCTGCTCTAGCAGCTACTTTTAATCCTGTTTGCTTCCATGCAAGTGCTTCTGAACACTGCAGAGTTACTAGGAGGAGCCTTTTATTCTGTAGAGAAGGAAATTTAAGGTCCAGACAGGAAAAGCACTTGCCTGGGATCATTACAGTCCTTGGCTTAGACAGGACTCTAAGACAGTTTTTTATATATTTGACTTCATGCTATTTCTGACATACCAGGGACTTACTAAAAGATTTCTCTTGGGCAGCTGTGAGGTGAGGTAACAAGGAGTTCCTGTACCTGGGCAGTGATAGGGATGGAGAGAAGGCTCAAGCCAGAGCATGTTGTTTTGATCTGGGATCTGTCCTTTAATGAACCGGTGGTTCAACCTTCCTAATGCTGCAGCCCTTTGATACAGTTCCACGTGTTTCGGTGACCCCAACAAGAAAATTATTTTCATTGATATTTCATAACTATAATTTTGCTACTGTTATGAATCATAATGTAAATGTCTGTGTTTTCAAATGGTCTTAGGTGGCCCCTGGGAAAGGGCTGTTTGGCCCCCAAAGAGGTTGAGAACCCCTGAGCTAGAAGATCCTGTGAGAAGCAGCCCTATAACCTCTTGGTTGAATTGGGGAGTGAGGGTGGGTCAGAGGCAAATTCCTCAAGATGGAAGATTGACTGGTTGAAGTGGGAGTGGGGATCTGGACTTTGGGCAGAGGCAAATTTACTCACTAAGAGAAATGCATTCCCAAATGTGAGAGGTTTTCCCTTTGTGTTCTTGGGGAAGAATCTGTTTTTTGGTGTCCAGCTAGATTCGTGGATAAGGCCAAGGGATGAGAGAGAAAGCGCAAGGAAGAAGCTTTGGTCTTTGGCTTTGAAATCGTGAAACAATTTTCCTACTGACTCAGTGTGTTGCCATGGTAACAAGGCAGTGGTTGCTTAGGCTCTAGGAGCTAGTTTACCATTTAGAGCCCCAGGCTGTAATGTGTGAGGGGAGGGGACGTTGTCACCCTCCTCCTAGCCCACAGTGTGGATCTCATGTGGCAGCCCTTCTGTTCTTCCTATCCCCAGGCCCTTTCTGCTCCTCTTATCTGCCCTGCTAATTCTCTGACCATATATGTCATTTTTTTTCTGGCATCAGGAATGCAGCTGCTTCTTCAGGGCTGGGCAAATGGGTTGGATTGAAACCTCTTTCACTCATCTGGTGAGCTTGAGAGCGGTATTTTTATGGAGCTGAGAGCAGAAAGTGCCACCTCCTTTGGCCAGGTCCTTGATCGGTTTTCTGTGCTGAGTGTTCTCTCTCCCTGCCAGGCCTTCTGTCCTTCACAGTCTTACCTCCATGCTCTTTCCCCTCTAGGCCCTCTCATCCTTAGTTAATTTGGTGACTTTGCCACAGTGAAACCACTGTTGGGAACCCCTATAGGGTTAGAGAGGGCCTGGGAGACTTAGGGCTGCAAGGGGTCTGCAGGGATTGGCAGATAGATTCCATTCTTTGTCCCAGGTAAACCAAGCGGAACACCTCAGCCATGGCCTTTTTTCCTGGGACCCTATTATCTCTGGCCTGGAGAGGAGTGGGTTAGCCAGGGACCCAGCTGGCTTTTTTCAGACATGATATTTGGAGACCCCTGGACTCCTTAGATTCTTGTACCATCTATCCCTGTAACTGTTGGTGCATGAGGCTTCTGCACTCTAAAACCTCTGAGGAGATGCCCTTTGGCAGCTGGGCCTGTGTTACTTGGTCATTTGAGTGGTAGGCAAGTATGGAAACTGGCAGCTCTTACTGCCCAGCTAAGGACCTGAAGGGAGGTGCTGAGCTGTGCCATCCACTGCCCCAGCTGCCTTTTCTGGCACCATGCTCTGTGGAACTCTTGGCAGGGTGAGGACTGTTGAGGAATAGGGACACGGATGCCAGAAGAGAAAAGAAGGGGACAGAGGGTTCTCTGTAAGAATTACAGAAGCTGACCCGCCACCTTCTCTCCCCTCCACACCCAGGGTTCTCTTCCAGTTCTTCTGCAGGGAACAGACTTAGCCATGGACCCTCTCGCGGAACTGCAAGATGATCTGACCTTGGATGATACCAGCCAAGCTCTGAACCAGTTGAAGCTAGCCTCCATTGATGAGAAGAACTGGCCTTCTGATGAAATGCCAGACTTTCCCAAGTCAGGTAGGTGGCACAATGCCTCAGGCGACTGTAGGCACCATGGAGAGGACCCTTCTGCTGGAGAGGTCTCCAGGGGGTAAGGTTGGGACAAGGAGACCAGCCCTTGGGTAAGGTCAGGAGTATGTTTACTGGGGGCAGGCCTGAGAGCATGAGTCACAGAGAAGGTGCTAGGCCAGCCCCCGCCATGACTCTACTTCTGCCATATTCCTCAGACGACTCGAAAAGCAGCTCTCCAGAACCTGTCACACACCTGAAGTGGGATGACCCTTACTATGACATTGCTCGGCACCAGATTGTGGAAGTAGCAGGTGAGCATATCCAGTGTCATAACTGTTCCCTCATATTCTGTGCTCCTGGCTTAGAGATGCCAGCTTCTTTTGCCACAAAGAAAGGGTACATTCGGTGCCGTTCTTCTGGTCTGCTTTTGAGCATATGTACTTCCCTCATGAGCATGGATAGGTTTTGATTGGCATGTAATGTAGTCACCTGCCACTGCTTCCTGACCTATAGTCCCATTGTCTCCCACTGCAGCCCTAATGTGGAAGGCATTGTGGCCTAATAGCTTTGAAGTTAGAAAGTTGCATTTGATCCAACTGTGCTCTCTGAACTCCTCCCTCACTTCTGGGGGTTTAGAACAGGCAGAGAGCCTCCTTCAAAATGCACAATGCTGCATGGCTCCCTGAAACATCACATTTCTAGTGGATGTGTTTCCCTGCTGAGAATGAGTATAGGCACCCTTTGGTTCTCTGCTTCAGGGAGTTCCCTTCTATTCATAAGGCAAGCCCTAGAAGAGACTGGACCAGGGGAGTAGTGACACTTGGTGAGTTGGCTCTTGCTGTCAGAGCTAAAGAGGTCATAATGTTTAAAGCATTCCCATGGTGCCTGTGTTTCTGATGCTTACCTTTGTCTGGCTTGGGAGTCTTGAATGGTCTCTTCTCAACTCTGCAGAAGCAAGACAGAGTTCCTTCCTGGCTTAGGTCTAAGCCTGGGACCTGAGTGAAGTGTCAGGGTGTCTAATGTCTACCCCCACAGCCTCCTGACTTTGTGGTCAGTCAGAAGACTGCAGGTGGAGACTGTTCCTCCCACTTTTGTGGGTGTCCCCTTGTCTTGCAGCAAACCACCACCTTGCAGCGTTTTGTTTGTTTGTTTGTTTGTTTCTTCAGAATGTGGCAAGCCTGAGGGGCCCCAGCCAGGTAGGTGTCAGTTCTGGCTGTCTGTGCTTGGCCTCTCCTGGCTGTGGCCTCTGGCTCTATGAATCAGAAATGGCTCTTGGTGGAGGCCAGTGGGACCAGCTTAATTGCAGCTCTGTTCTAGGAAGCTGGGAGCTGGCGGTGGCTTTGGGAGGAGGAAATGGCAGGGCTTATGAGAGACATGATGAAGTGGAGACAGTGTGGGGACACATCCAGAACCCAGGAGAAAGGAGCTTCAGGGGCTGTGCCTCAGGAAGCTTTCAGTGTAGACAAGGCCTGGCCAGCATGCTGCTGTGGGGCCTATGTGCCGGCCTTGCTGGTGAGGCTTGTTTGAAGAGCCAGTGGTGATATCTCTAGCACTAGAATTCAGAGACAGTGCTGATGTGAAAGGGAGAGTAGGCACTGCTCCCAGCAACTCTACAGCCTGTGGTTGTGCCTGTCTTCAGTGGCTGTCATGGACCTCAGTCAAATTTGACTTGGTCCCAGTAGGGTCTTTCCAGTGTTGTGCCGATAACAGTAGATTCTTCAGAAAGGGGCAGAGAGGCCAGTGTTTGTGAACTTTTCATTTTTTACAGCAGCTGGTCTCAGGCTTCCAACATAATGTTAGCTGGCTTTCAGAATTCCTGACAATAGAAGTATTAACAAATGTCAGTCCCAGCCCCTACCCTTAGGTGTCCTTGTACTGCAGGTTGTGGTCAGCAGTACCCAGAAAGCCTGCTAGAGAAGCTGTCCTGTTGCTGATTGACACTCATGCTGCCTTGAGAGAGGCCCTGATTGGTATCTGGGGAATGCAGAGGGCTGGCTCTCAGGCTTTTTCTACTACAGCCCTCCTCACTAGGCCCTCTCCTCAGTTCCCTAGAGATAGCACAGCGGCCAGCTCTGTGCCTCTCTTAAGGTTCCAGGGCAGGATCGGCTCTCATCCCTCCTGTGTGCTTCTTGTAGCAGCCGTCCTGCTTGCTTACAGACTTGGTGATGGGACTCCCACTTCTGGGGAGTCAGAGGACAAGGCCTAGACCCTAGGGCTGTTGACCCTCCTCCCATGCTTGCCTCCCATCTCCTGACTTACCCTTTGACCTCCTTGCTACCCTGGCTTTTTTCAGTGTGTTACTGTAGCAGTGTCAGAGTCAGCACCGAGGACTTGGTGAGACACCCTCCTCCATTCCCTAGAAGTTTGTACCTCACACTGGGGTAGAGTGCTCACCTAGTGTAAGGCCCTGGGTTCCAGCCTTAGTATTGGGAAAATTAAAACATTAAAAAGGGACCCAACAGTCCAGTGAAATAGGTCTTAAAACTCATCATAGTCCTTTTTGACCCTCTTAGGGCCACTAGGGTATAAATTTCTTTCTCTAGAGAAAGCACATGTCTTTGTACTAGATTTATAGAACATAGTTTCCCTTTCTTTCTTCCTTCCTTCCTTCACTCCTTTCTTCCTTCACTCATTCCTTCCTTCCTCCCTCCCTCCCTTCCTTCCTTTCTTTCTTGATGAACCAGTGAGTTTATTAGGGTTACTCTCAAAAGCATGGATAAAGGGTTTCTACTCCCCACTTCTGTGGCCAGCTGAGAGGTAGAACAGCATCCTGGCCCGTAGCCTTAACCTCTCACTGACACTTTACATTCCAGAGCTCTCAGACCCTCCACCTTGGCTCAGTCCTCAACTCTTCCAGCCAGGGAAGACTGACTTAGTTCTGGGGTAGGAGCTTCAGATAATGCCTTCAAGGTCCCCAGGCCCCCCACTTCAGCCTGGCACCTGCATTCCAGGCATTCCTTCTGCTTAGATGGAACTAGGCAGGTGATGCTCCCCTTCTTTGCAGGAGTCCCAGTTTAAGTCTGTGTCTCTGCCCCTGCTATGTTCCTTTCCCCTTTCCTGACAGAGCCAATGAGAAGTAAATGAGAGTAGGAACTTAGCTCTGAGCCACCAGCAGCTACCCTCCCCCCCCCAAAACCTTAGCACCTCAGAGTTCAGAGAACTGGTGTCACCCAGATCTTCAAAGTGGACCTGCCTCCTTCCAGGTGTGGTGGGCACATACCTATAGTAAATATTGAAGCTGGGGGTAGTAGCACACATCTTTAATCCTAGTACTTGGGAGGCAGAGGCAGGGAGATCTCTGAGTTCAAGTCCTGGTCTACAGAGTGAGTTCCAGGACAGCCAGAACTGTATAATGAGTCCCTGTCTTGTAAAAACAAAAGACAAAAACAAATAAACAAAAATACCAAATCCTATCACTTAGTAAGCTGAGGCAGAAGAGCTTCAGTGAAATTTAGGCTAGCCTGAGCTCCATATTGACAGCCTGCCTCAAGCAAAAACCTGTTGCTGATACAGTTGCATGGTAACGATTCTGTTTGGAAAAACCCTTTCTCCAGCTTCAGGAAACTCACTGCCTAACATACTCTAATTTGTCACTTAACCATCAAATACACGTTCAGAAATGAAACTGCATGTCATCTGACCTGCGTCTTTTTGAAGGCTACCAACACTTATTACTTGAGATGGGATCTTATTGTCTTTTCCAGGCTGGTCTTGAACTGGTAGACACCAGTGACTCTCCCATCTACGTCTTCTGAATAGCTGGCTGGGATCCTAGGTGTATAGCAACGCAGTTGGATACCAGCACTTACTGAATGCCTGACATGAGTGGGCTGACAGGAAACAGTCCCTGCCTTCAGGCTGTTCATGAGGTAGTGGGAGACAGAGCATTGGAGAGTAGAAATGTAGGACAGACGTGCATGGCTGTTAGTGCTGGGAGCCATGGGAAGAGCCAGCTCAGCCGTCTGCGGGGAAGATGGAGGCAGCCGTGTGTATGTTGAGTCCCCCAGGTCCATAGTGGCCAGTTTGGAACAGAACTGTCCGAACAAGTGACAAACAACCTGGGGGTACAAAGATACCAGCACTTCTGTGATAGAAGATGTGCATGGTGCAGTCCAAGAAGTGAGGCCAAGACTCAGTGTCCTGGGAGCCATTTGAAGGATTTTTTTCTTGAGACATGATGTCATGAAGCCCAACCTGGCCTTGAACTCACTATGTGGCTGATCCTTGCTTTGAACTCCTGATTGTTCTGCTGCCACCTCCCAGTGCTAGTGATACAGATTAGGGGTCTTGACCAGATTTGGTTTTTTGTTTGTTTGTTTGTGTGTTTGTTTCTGCCAGTTAAAGAATTAAAAGGCAGGAAAAATCTCTAGCATGACAGACAGCAGTGGAGGAATCTGGAACACTGCAGACAGCAGCAGGCAGAAACAGCAATTGAAGAAGCATATCTGTTGGGGGTGAGGAAACAAACACACATGCAGTAGACACATAGAGAAAAAAGAGCCTCTGCAAAGCAGATGGAGCAGGAGAGCTGGAAATTCCAGTCTCTTCTCCAGGGCTCAGGTTTAAAGACTCTGAACAGTTTTCCTCCCCTAATTTAGGGTTGGTCTGGATAGTTGATTGACCCACAGCTGTTAAATTCTGATCAGGCCTTGAACTTGTTGAGCCAGTCCATCAGCCTGCTGATGGAAGACAAAAGCCTACAAGGCCTTCAATTTTAAGCTGCCAGGCTTTTATCTCAAGTCAGGAGGATGAGGAAGAAGTTACCTATCCATAGCCGCTCCCTATCTTTCTGCGTTCCAGGGGGTCTGTTTAACTTTTGGTCATTCATTAGGATTACATGTGTATGATGTCACGTGTGGCTTCCATTTTAAGGAATATTTATAGGATTCAGTCTAGGTAAGGTGGCAATGAGGGGGAAAGGCATGCTGTGAAAGTAGAGTTTGGGGCAGTAGGTGTTTATAATTCCACAGAGTTGGACACTAGGGAAGATTAAAAGGCAAAACAGAGCTTTCTGGGTTTGGTGGGCTGGACCTCAGAGACTGGCACAAGAAGTTCTTTGGAGTATCCTGGTCAGAGTCTTTTGGACCTAACAAAGCCAGACAATGATTTGGGTGGAGACAGGAGGGTGAGGGCTTATCCAGGAGCTGTCATGGATGGGAGGCTGCTGGGATACTGGCCTTCATCTTTTTGGGACTGGACTATTGTAGCACACTTGAGAAGCTGCCTTTGCTTTCCTAGTAACCCCTGCCTCAGTCTAAAGAAGAATGAAGAGCTTTAGAACACTCTGAAAAGGACCAGCTCCTGGGCTCCATTGTAGTTGTTTTTTTTTTTTTTTTTTTTTTACTCTTTGGAGGCCTGCTACCGCTGGCTCCCAAATAGATAGAGACTTATTCTTACTTAGGAATGCCCCACCTTTGCTTGGCTTATTTCCAGCTAGCTTCTCTCTCTCTCTCTCTCTCTCTCTCTCTCTCTCTCTCTCTCTCTCTCTCTCTCTCTCTCTCTCTCTCCAGTTTTTTTCAAGACAGGGTTTCTCTGTATAACAGTTCTGGCTGTCCTGGAAATTATACCGTTTCTCTTTGTGTTTTGCCTCTGGACAGTTTACCTTTCTTTATTCTGTATCTTTTTTTCCTTCTTACTCCATAGCTATGTGACTGGGTGGCTGGCTCCTGGAATCTTTCTCTTCTCCTTTTCTCCCTCCTCCGTCTCTTCTCTTCTTCTGAGATTTCATTTCTCGTATTTATTCTCTCTTCCTGGCAGCTCCACCTATCCCTCTCTCCTGCCTAGCTATTGGCCATTCAGCTCTTTATTAGACCAGTAAGTGTTTTAGACAGGCATAGTAACACAGCTTCACAGAGTTAAACCACATACCACAACAACAACAACAACAAAAATGCAACATTGGGCTAGAGGGATAGCTCAGCCATTAAAAAGGAGAGGCTCACAACCAAAAATGTAAGAATTCAACACATCTTTGCATCACTAAACAAATATTCCACAGCATAAACAAATATAACGCACCTTAAATAATATCTCACAACATTCCATTATAAACAGAGCAGGATGGTGGGCTCACCAAGGGAGAGCAGTCCTTACTGCTGAGGTGGAGAGGAGAGGCAAACTGCCTGCACTGCACAGGTTGTGCCGTCAGTTCCTGCTCTCCTGTGTTGCTTTCCCTTTGCCCCTGAGACAGTGGGGATGAAGCAAGTACAGTTTGTTGTCTCTGGAAAGGTGAAGTGGATTAGGACATGGAGATACATGGGTCAGGCTTTATGACCATTGAGCTTTCCTAAGGACCCCTCTCTCAGCTGACTCTAGAAGAGCATCTCATTTGGGGCAATAGCATGTCTCAAAAGCTTTCTGTCTTTTTGACAGCCAGGCGTTTGGGACAAATATCTCTGAGAGAAAACCTAGGCTGGATTTTGCTATAGCTTCACAAACTCCCCTGAAGTCATGTTCTTCAAAATATCTTTAATGGGAAAGATAATTTTTTAAAATTTATTTATTTTTATGCACATTGGTGTTTTGCCTGCATGTATGTCTGTGTGAGGGTGCCAGATCTCCTGGCATTGGAGTTCCAAGCAGTTGTGAGCTGCCTTGTGGGTGCTGGGAATTGAACTTATGTGTTCTGGAAGAGTAGCCAGTACTCTTAGCCACAGAGCCATCTCTCCATCCTGGAAGATAAGATTTTTAGGAATTCAGTCAGAGCCAAGTGTGGTCAGCCATTCTAGTAATAAAATCAGAAATTTGTCAGTGGACAAAATTGTTGTCACTAGGGTGGCTGACCCCACTGTCTAGCAACCTGACTACTTTCCTCTGCAGCTTTGGATTGACTGAGAAGCAGCCTCTACAGGTTTTCTAGGTCCTTGATGCTCAGTGCTTTTGGGTAAACCAGTTGTAGGATGTCTGGTTGGCAAGATAGTATAGACCTTGATGGATTTATTGTTGGTGAATGTGAGGGGCTTTTTTTGGAGACAAGATCTGTTGTAACTCAGGTTGGTCTTGACTTTTCAGCTTCCTGCCTCAGCCTCCCATGGTGGGATTGCAGGTATGCACCCACTAGAACACTTTAAAGAATTTGTAGCAAAATTACATTTGTGTGTGTTCATGTACATGTATGTGCAAGCCATGGCACACATGGAGGTCCTACTGTGTGGGTCCCACCATGTGTGATGAAATAGGTCATCAGATTTGGCAGCAAGTGCCTTAACCCATTGAGCTGTCATGCCAGCCCATCAGAACACGTTTATTGTTCATATACATATCAAATCCTGTGCCTATTTAGCAGTGCTTCCCTTTCTCCCCTCCTCTCAGCATCTGGAAGCCTTCTCATTTGCTTCCCCACTCTATGGACTTATGGTCTTAGACCAGTGGTTCTCAACCTTCCTAATGCAGTTCCTCATGTTGTAGTGACCCTCAACCATAAAATTACTTTCATTGTTACTTCATAACTGTAATTTTGATATTGCTATGAATTTAATGTAAACATGTGATATGTAGTCCATCTGATATGTGACTCTGTGAAAAGGTCACTTGACCTCAAAGGGGTTGTGATCCACAGTTGAGTACAATTGCCTTAGTCTCTCAGAAAAATCATGTAATAGCTGCCTTTTTTTTTTGTGCCAGGCTGTTCTCACTTAGCATATTTTCAAGGTTCATTTATATTTTGAGCCATATATTAGTACTTTCTTCCTTTTTATGATCAAACTTCTGTTGCATGAATATATATTTTTTTCCTGATACAGATTATCTTGTATCTCAGGTTAGCCTCAAATTTATCTAGTGAAGGTAAGGATAACTTTGAACTTCTGATCTCCCTGCCTCCACCTCTGAGTACTGGGGTTACAGATATTAACGTCACCTTGGCTTTATTTAATTCTAGGGATCAAACCCAGGGTTTTTTGAGTGCTAAACTAAGCAGGTCTCTATCAATTGTGTTACATTCCCATATATTTATCTATTGATGAATGTATGCTATCCCCACAGGTGTTACTCTTTCAATGTGATTTTATTTAGTTCTTAACACAGGGTCTCACTGTATAGCCCTTGCTATCTTGGAACTTTCTATGTAGATCAGGCTGGCTTTAGTGCTAGGATTAAAGGCACTCAACACTGTGTCTCTCCTCAAAGTGAGTTTATTATTATTACTGTTTTGCTTTCTTTTTCTTTTTCTTTTTTTCTTTTTTTTTTTTTTTTTTTTTTTTGAGACTGTATGCCATCTAGCCCAATCTGGCCTTGAACCTTTTAAGTAGTCTTGAACTCCTGATCCTCATGATTCTACCTCTAAAGTGTGGGTTTACAAGTGTGACTGGGTTAAAAAGCAAGGTAAATTTTTTTGGGGGGGGAGCTGGGTGGTGGTGAACACCTTTAATCCCAGCACTTGGGAGGCAGAAGCAGGTAGGTTTCTGTGAATTTGAGGCCAGCCTGGTCTACAGAGGGAGTTCTAGAACAGCAGAGAAACCCTGTCTTGAAAAACAAAATAAACCAAAAAATTTTGGGGGGTTGTCCCAATTGAGTGCCCCTGAAATACCTATACCAACATACCCTTGAGTAATGGATGTGGATGGATCAGTGAAGCCCCTACACTCACTGTACAGGCCCCAGGTTGGTATTTTTTAAGTCCCACCCTCCACTTTGGTTCATTTTTCACTAACTGTACTTTATCTTTCTTCTCACTTAGGTGATGATAAATATGGGCGGAAGATCATTGTCTTTAGCGCTTGTCGAATGCCCCCTAGCCATCAGCTGGACCACAGCAAGCTCTTGGGGTGAGTACCTTCAGGGAAGTAAGGTGGGGCTATTCTAGACCCTTAGTAGTCTGAACCATTCTCCACATTCCCCTTCACTGTGGGCACCAGGTTATCTTCTTTCTTGTCACTCATTCCATAAGGGAGCTGCCTTATTGTGGGGACAAACAGCAGGCAGGAGTCAGACCTAATTTCTGGTCCTAGAGACTGTGACCTTGGCAAGTGTTTTAGAGCCTTATTTTCACATCCTTCATGGAAGACAATGAAGCAGGTGGCCTCTTTGTTGACAGGAGTGAGATAACACACCAGAAAATAATCTTGAAAAGTAAATACTTTCCAAATATGTACAATTGTACAGTATTTTTTATGCTGTATTCTTTTTTTTTTTTTTATTTTCTATTTTCTTCTTTCTGGTTTTGTTTTTTGAGACAGGGTTTCTTTGTGTAGCCCTGGCTGTCCTGGAACCTACTCTGTAGACCAGGCTGGCCTCAAACTTGTAGATCCACCTGTCTCTGCCTCCCAAGTGCTGGGTTAAAGGTATGCACTACCACCACTGGGCATACTCATGATTCTTTAAAAAAAAAAAAAAAAATTTAGTTTTATGTGTATTGGTGTGAGTGTGTGAGATCCCCTGAAACTGGAGACAGTTGTAAACTACCATGTGGGTGCTGAGAATTGAACCTAGGTCCTCTGAAAGAACAGTCAGTTCTCTTAACCTCTGAGCCATCTCTCCAGCCCCATAATTCTTAATTTTTTTTTTTTTCTTTTTTGGGTTTTTGAGGCAGGGTTTCTCTGTATTGCTTTGGAGCCTGTCCTGGAACTCACTCTGTTACCCGGCTGGCCTCGAATTCACAGAGAACTGCCTGCCTCTGCCTCCCAAGTGCTGGGATTAAAGGTGTGCTCCACCAATGCTGGGCTCATTTTTATTTATAATCATAATTAACATTATCTTACTATCAAGTTTGGTTTTAATGGTTTCTGCTACCAAATGTATATGTTAGAAATCTGCTTGTCTTAGTCACTGTTCTATTGCTGTGAAGAGACACCATGACCAAGGGAGCTCTTATAGAAGAAAGCATTTAACTGGGAACTTGTTTACAGTTTTAGTGGTTTAGTCTGTTGTCATCATGGTAGGGAGCATGATCACACACAGGCAGGCATGGTGCTGTGCTAGAGCTGGAGAATTAGCTGAGAGCTACAAGCTGATCGTCAAGTAGCAGGAACACACACGCCTGGCAAGGGCTTTTGAAGCCTCAAAGCCCACCTCCTCCAATATGGTCCCACCTCCTAAGATTTATTTATTTATTATGTGTACAGTGTTCTGTCTGCATGTATGCCTGCAGGCCAGAGGAGGGCACCAGATCTCATTACAGATGGTTGTGAGCCACCATGAGGTTGCTGGGAATTGAACTCAGGACCTTTGGAAGAGCAGGCTCTTAACCACTGAGCCATGTCTCTAGCCCCCTCCTAATCCTTTTAATCCTTCTCATACACTTCCACTTCCTGGTGACTTAAAATATTTGAACCTATAGGTGTTGAATTTCTCATTCATACCACCACACTGTTAAGCAGATACTCATCTGGCCTTTCACATTGAGCCAGCACTGGGTTCCTAGCAGGGACTAGTGTGATATCAAGGTACATGGGGTATTCCACAAAAGCAGAGCAGAAACTGTCCCCAGTTTGTACTTTTTTCTGACCAGTGTAAAGTGCTCTCTAAAATGTAAAATGTGTATGTCACCTACAGCAGCTGCTTGAATGTTGTGCACATGCAGGGTTGTGGTTGTCTCAGGGACAGGCTTGAGGATCACAGAAGACAGGCAGAGGCCTGAGTGTGGAGTCTCTGCTGGCCTCTGCTGAGATAGAGGCAGAGGCTCATTCCTTGTGAGGTCTTTCTCCCTCTGGCCTTGTGACTTCTCTTTCCATAGTTCCTTAAATAGAGCAAGCAGCCTTGTTGGGGACCCACCATGTGTCCAGCCAGAAATATTCACCATAGAGTTCAGCCTGAGGATGAGTCACAATCCCCCACTCTAGCTTTTTGCTATATCTGATGTACCAGGTAGCAGACTTGTGGCCAGGTAGTAGGTCCAATGAGAGGAAATCATAGGCAATTGGAAAGCACCTAGTTTTTAGGACCCGTTACTGGGGAAGCTCTGTCTTTCTTGAGTTTTCCTCCAGGCTCAAGAAGCCATGGGCTGTTTGCTGCTGCAGGCCCTCTTTCCCTTCCCAGACACACACTCAGACACATACACAGACTCACACATACACACACACACACACACACACACACACACACAGAGAGAGAGAGAGAGAGAGAGAGAGACTCACACACAGACTCACACACCCACACAGACTTACAGACCCACACACACACACACCCTATCCCACCCTCTATCCTACACACACCCCACTTGGTCACCGTCCCTCCTGAGACTAGACTCATGGTCCACTGGTTCTGTCTGTCCTGTTTTCAGTCTGATTACATCAGACTTGGCTTTTCCTCACACCCCACCCAGATCTAGGGGGTTGAAATGGAAAAATGCTTGAAGCTTGGAATCAGAAGACCAGTTAAATTTGAGCTCTGAATTTTAACTAGACATGTGCTTGGAGGCAAGTCTCTCTGAGTTCTATATGAACTCTGAGTTCTTTGTGTCTCACAGAGTTGTGATGGGAAATAACGGATTCCATCATATATTTTTAGAGTATTACAAGTAGTTATGAAGGAAGCCTCAATGATCTGCCACCCAGAAAGAAAACCACTGTATTTTGCTACATCCTCTTTGTATTTTTTCTATATGTGCAACTCTATATTCAATTTGATGCCTTGGATAATTCCTTCATCTTCTGGGTATAAAACAATTCCTCAGAGATATCTTTTGTTGTCCTTTTATTTTTAGCCCATGTATTGGTGGCACATGCCTTTAATCCCAGTACTTAGGAGGCATAGGTAGGTGGATCTCTGAGATCCAGGCCAGCCTGGTCTACTGAGTGAGTTTTAGGACAGCCAGGGTCACACAAAGAAACCCTACATATTAAAACAAACAAACAAACAACAAACAAACCCCAACAAAACCCAAAGCTCCCAAACCATATTATTTAGCTGGACATAGTGGTGCATGCTTTAATCCTAGCATTTGGGAAGCAGAGGCCCGTGGATTTCAGTGTGTTCCAGGTCAGCCTTGTCTACATAGGAGTTCCAAGGACAGACTAGGTTATACAGTGAAACCCTGTCTTTCCTCCCACCCACCATCCTGAAAAAAAGAACTCCACAGAAAACAAAACATTATTTACATATAATATGCATATAGGAAAGCAAAGCAAAAAAAAAAAAAAGTGTACTAGTTTTTTTTTAAGACATCTCTCATTTTGTTGCCCAAGCTTACTGTCAACACCTAGGCTTAAGTGACCTTTTTGCTTCATCTTCTTGAGTATCTGGAGCTATATACATACAACAAACACTACACCCAGTTTCTGGTGAATTTGATGATGCACGTCTACAATTCTATCACTTGGTAGGCTTTTGAAGGATGATTTTGAATTTCAGGCTGGCCTGAGCTACACAGTGGGACCTTGTCTGCCTCAAGGATGACCACTGTTCTGATGCCTGACTTCACAGATGAATCCTGTCTGTAGAGGCATCCTGTGAGATAGTCTATTTATAGATGTCCCATGATTCTTTAGCCAGTCTCCTGATACTGGATAATTTGCTGGCTGCTCACTTGTTGTTTTTCCATAATAAAACTCTGGAATGAACAGTCTCCTACAAGAATGTTTCTGCTCCTCTCCATTTCCTTAGGAAATATTCTTGAACTTACTTTTACACAGTCAGAGAGTGTAAGCACTGCCCAGCTTCTGATAGGCATCACTTCATTGCACTCCAAAGGTCATGACAGGCATCCATGGATTAGAGTGTCTACTGTAATCTTTGCTATTTTCCCAATTGCAAAATGCCATGTTTTTATTGTTATTATAGTTTTGTTTTTTGAGAAAGTGTTCTCTATGTAACAGTGCTGGAACTTGCTTTATAGACCAGTCTAGCCTCTAACTCACTATATCCGACTACCTATGCTTCCTGAGTGCTGGATTAAAGTTGTATGCCACCACACCCACCTGCAAAATGCCATCTTAGTATGTGACAGCCCTTTGTAAACTACAAAGTACTTGATGTGGATAAGGGCTAACTCATTCTCAGTTTAATAATGATCAGAATCTCTGGTAACTTAGCATTTGTACTTATGCCCTGCTTACCTGTGCTGGCCCAGCTCTGCACCCTGGTACTTACTGGTCATTAGGCTGCTGCCTTTGGGTCAGACCATTCGTCTGGGTACTTAGTCAAGTCTTTGGGAGCTTCCTCAGACACTTCCTTTCTCTTGGATGTGCTTATCATTCAGCCTACCCAGCCTGGAGTGACATCCCTTCTAGAACCAAGGGACTGATTGTCCATCTTCTCAGAGGCTTTCTGCCCTCTCCGTTTATTACTTCTAAACTTCCCAGTCTGTTCAACATGTATGTGTGTTGGGGTGGTACATACCGTTATGGACATAGGTTCCTAAGGAGTATGACATTGTGTTCCATTAAAAGCCTAATGATTGGAACAGTTGACCTTCTGGCCATCCTGATGTTTCTTTAGGGGCACAGTGTTTTTACAAACTATACCACAAATCACATACAAAAAGCAGAACTGGTGCAGGGTCTAGAATGCAGTCTTGGACTTGGACACTTCACCACTTTGCCCTGCCATAAACTGAAACCTTGGCTAAGTACTTGACCTCTGCTGATTGCCCTCATTAGTAAAATGGGGTTAACTTCAGTGAGGGAAGAATGAGGTAATGTATTGGAAGTACTTGGCAGACACTAAAGGCTTTTACCAATAACCAGTGACTGTCCTTGTTACTGATTTAGGGTGATCCTTAGAAAAATATGTCAACTGCAGGTGCACAGCCCAGCTTGGAACTCAGGTCTACTGATTCTGCTGCTCAAAATGAGAGCTGTGTGCATACTTACTTCTCCATTAGGTCCAGCCCCTACCCTCTGCCTCCTTCCAGGAAAGAGGCTTTGGGTTACATAGCCAAATGATAGCAGGGAAGGTCTGTAAAGGAGGAAGCCGTGGTGCAAATACTGGTTTCTATTGTAACAGGGGCCACACCTGTTGTGCAGAGGACAGGTCTGAACAGGGCTTTTATGCGTTTATGATGTTGGGTGTTAAACCTGTGGCTCACACGGGATAGGTAATTAACTCTACACCCCCAGCTACACCTCCAGCCCTGGGCCTTTTTCTTGAAGGTACTTGAAACATACACTGGACCAGTATGTGGAGAGTGACTACACACTGCTGTACCTGCACCATGGCCTGACCAGTGACAACAAGCCCTCCCTCAGCTGGCTACGGGATGCCTACCGGGAGTTTGACCGCAAGTGGGTTGGGACATGGAGGTGGACTCCAGAGCCTAGTATGGTGGCTCTGGGCTGATGGCTCTCTGGGCTCTGGGTTGTTCTTTGGCCAAAAGCTTATTCAATATCAGTGAAGGGAGGGCACACTGCCCCCTTATTCCACCCATCCCAACTTGTCCTGCAGGTACAAGAAAAACATCAAGGCCCTGTACATCGTGCACCCAACCATGTTCATCAAAACCCTTCTTATCCTTTTCAAGCCTCTCATCAGGTGAGCAGGCCACAAGGGTGTATACCCTCATACACCAAGCAGATACCCAGGCTGGCCAGCTTAGGGTGATGCTTTTCTGCAGGGAGAGCAAAGGCCTACCATGGGGCCCAGCCTGACCCAGATCCTTCCCTTTGCCTCTAGTTTCAAGTTTGGACGGAAGATCTTCTATGTGAATTACCTGAGTGAGCTGAGTGAGCATGTGAAGCTGGAGCAGTTGGGGATCCCTCGCCAAGTGCTCAAGTGAGACAGCTGGATGGGCACCCAGGCTCTGTGTGTGCGCGTGCGTGCATGTGTGTATGTGTCTGAGTGTGCGTGTGAGTATGTGCATGCACACATGCACGTGTCTCCCCCCACCCCCGTGTGAGTCCACCGCTTAGTTGTGTGAGTGTGTTGTGTGGGAGGCAGCATAACCTGGGGAGCGGGAACCAGGAGAACCCAGGAAAATGTGAAAGGCAGTGTCAAGATCCGGCACAGTAGATAAGCCAAATCTAACCCCATTTCTGTCACAGGCTTTTGACTGAATCTCTTTTAAAGTGTTTGTTTTCCACTGTATTACCATTAAGTGGGGCTGTTTTTGGCTACAACCCTACAGAGCCAGAAAGAATGCTTGACCCTTGTTCCATGTACTCTCCCAGGTATGATGACTTCCTCAAATCCACACAAAAGAGCCCTGCAACAGCTCCCAAGCCCATGCCACCACGACCTCCACTGCCAAATCAGCAGTTTGGGGTCTCATTGCAGCAGTGAGTATGATAAAGTTAGGCAGGTCTGGGGCTGATGGGGCTGGACCAACACGCAGAGTCCCAGCTCACCCCTTTGCTCCCATAGCCTCCAGGAGAAAAACCCAGACCAAGTGCCCATTCCTATCGTGCTCAGGGAGACAGTTGCCTACTTGCAGGCTCATGGTGAGTGCTATGGTGCCCAAGGCCTGTTGACCTTCCAAGTCACCCTGTTCCCCAGCTGCTCTTGAGAAACTCTGTGCAGGGCATAGAAAAGTACACCCCCAACGACCCTTCTTGGGCAGGGAAGTGATCCATTACCCAGAGTTCTGACACTCACCAGGCCCCTTGTTCCCTAGCTCTCACCACTGAGGGCATCTTCCGGAGATCAGCCAACACCCAGGTTGTACGGGAAGTGCAGCAGAAATACAACATGGGTGAGTGCACCTGACCATAGAGCTAGTCCAGAATGTGTATGCACATCAGTGTGTGTGAGGGAGAGGGAGGGGGGAGGGAGGGGACAGAGAGGGAGAGAGGCCAAATGGGACCTATAACTTTGCAGGGCTGTAAGTAAGGTCCCAGATTGTGTTCTTGCCAGAAGTTTCCATGTCCTTTGGTGTGACCACGTAGGCCCTACTTGCCTCATTTTCAGGAGCTGCAGCCTTGGGTTCAAGATCATTTAGAGACAAGGAGTAGCTGTCATGTGTGCCAGTGTCCTCATGCTCTCCAGATGGTCTGAGCCTATATCCCCTTGTTACTGGAGAAGAGGCAGATACAATAGGGGACCCTGGGACAAGGACAACGTAAGAGTGTGTAGGCCTCTGGCTTGGCCTAGTGTTCTCTCACCCTTTCTGTCCCCATGAAGGGCTGCCGGTGGACTTCGCCCAGTACAACGAGCTGCACCTGCCAGCAGTCATCCTCAAGACCTTCCTTCGGGAACTTCCTGAGCCCTTGCTGACCTTTGACCTCTACCCCCATGTTGTGGGCTTCCTCAGTGAGTTCTCTCTTTCCTCCCCAGCCATGCAAATCCTCTGCCAGAGCTGGAAGGAGCTCAGGGGTGTGTCTATGGCCATACATCTACCCACCCTCCCCTGCAGGCTTGTGGGCATAAGCAGCTCCCAGGAAGTTCAGGTGGGGTTCTCCACTAGTCTCCTCTCGGGGTTTCTTGAGCTAGTTCTGTGCTCCTGTAACCAGGGCCTCCACTCCTCACAGATATTGATGCAAGCCAGAGAGTGGAGGTGACACAGCAGGTTCTCCAAACTCTGCCAGAGGAGAACTACCAGGTGCTTCGTTTCCTGACTGCCTTCCTAGTGCAGGTGAGACTTGCCTTGACCTCCACTGCTCACCTGGAGAGGGAGCAGTGTTTTGTCATTGCTTGGATGCTGTGGTTGCTGGGAGTAAGAGGCAGGGACCATAGATCTTATCTGTAGTCCCCATTTCCTTCCACAGATATCTGCTCACTGTGACCAGAACAAGATGACCAACACTAACCTGGCTGTAGTCTTTGGCCCTAACCTGCTGTGGGCCAAGGATGCTGCCATCACTCTCAAGGCCATTAATCCTATCAACACCTTCACTAAGTTCCTCCTGGATCATCAAGAGGAGTTGTTTCCCAGCACAGATGCCCAGGGTGTCTGAGCTCAGTCCCCACCCAACCCCCCAGCCCCTTCTCTGGCAGCCCCAGTAGGACTTGTTCTCCTGGTATTAACCTTATTGGTGTCCAGGGCTCCTGTCTAGGAAGGGGTCCTGAAGCCCCAGGAGATGGAAGTTGGAGCCCACCAACTGGGCAGCCCCTCCTCTCCCTCTGTCCAGCCCCTTTCCAGCTCTGGAGGCCTCTGTTATTGTGACATTTTCTTTGCCTTATACCTCTCACTGCCTCTTTGGTTGCTGGGCTTTCCAAAACTGGGCTTGGCTCTTCTGGGATTGAGCCCCAGTAACCCTTTTCCTTTTTCCTGCCTGTTTCCCTGGCAACTGTAGAAGACTAAATCACTGCCAGCTGTGCTGGTATCAGGGGCTGGTCCTCTCTTTCCTGATTGCTAGGAAATGGGACAGCTGAGCTCCTTGGCTTGCGTTGGCTATGCTGGGTCAGTTGCTGTGCTTTTTTAGGAGTGGGTGTTGGCCTGGGTGCAGGTTTTCTATGCCTGCCCTTCCTAATAGGGATTACAAGACCAGAGTTGGCTTGTCACTTCTGCCTCCCCAAGTGGTACTGTTCCCACTGTGTCCTATTTCCCCATTGCTGCCACACTTGGCATCTTGGCTAACAAGACTCAGAATCTGAACATCTGCTGAAATGGTCCTTTTCCCTCCCAGGGAGAGCCCTAGTGTCAGGTATGGCAACAGCAGCCTTGGTCCTCCATGCCTTCTCTTTGTTCTTATGTGCACAGATCCTCAGCCAATGGCTGTGGTGCATCGTTCTGGTGAGGAGTCACTCTGTCCCTGTTGTGACCATAGGTGCCAGTGCTTCAGGATCCATTTGTGGCTCTCGCCTCCTGCCTGGGTACTCTTGGAGGGCAGGAGCTCAGAAGCCCCTAAGAGGGGCATAGGTTTTACTAATAAATCACCGTCAGAAAAGTTCTAGCAACTCCCTTGAGAGAGTATGCTGGCTACAGGGCCCTGTCGTCTTTCAGAAAGCCTGAGGCCCAGTGATGATTGATAGCTTTCATTCTATTCCTAATGAAAACTTGTGACCCTCTTCCAGAAGTCTGCCTCCTAGTGGTAGGGAAGTACCCTGCAGTGACCCTGCCCCACAGGTGTGGCCAGGCATGACAGCTCCAGAGATGGTACTGGTTACTGTGGGATCTACACTGACCACCTTGCACAGGAGGCAGGCCTCCTCACTGGCTTTTTCCTGCACCAGTGTGTCAGGTCTCATGCCTGGCCCAGGCTGGCCCGTTCTGCTTTCACCCACCTTTTTGTATGAGGTGTTGCTACACTCCATTTACTGAGGAGCTTTTTGGACCTCACTAGTCCTTCTCCTGCCCCTGCCCTGCCCTTTCAATCTGTAGCTGGGGGCGCTCTTTACTGTGAAACCAGTGTTCACAATTACCATGATTTCCTTGGCACCAATCATGTATTTCACCATTTGCACTTTTTGTATTTCAATAAGTAAATAAAAATGGAAATAGAAACATCTGGCTGAAGTTCAGAACTAGGAAGTGTGTTTGTGGCTGAGAAAGAGGGCCTCAGGAAGGCCCCTCCCCAGTCCATCTTAATTTTCTTGGGGAAATAAGAACAAGCAATGAAAAGTCACAAAATGACTGCAGGTCCACTGGTGTACTTATGTGGGCCTGGTGAGCCCAAGCAGCTTTGTCACAGAGGACTCAGCATGGGAAACTGTATAGATGGGTCCCTCCTCCATTAATCTTCTGCTTCCTATTAAGTCTAGTACCTTCAGAGATCACATGTAGCTGTAGCTGGGACAGAATTTATGCAGTGGCGAGAGAGCAGATGTAGGTTTTTCCAGTGAAGGTTTAACAATCCTACCTACTCCCTCTTACTGTCACCTCTACTTTTAAAAGACACCCTCATTTTTTTACTATTATTGTGTGAATTGGATTTTTCCTTCCCTCTTTTATGTAGGTCCTCTTGTGTAGCCAACACTTCAGTTAAGGCATCTCTCTAGCCCTAAGGCCGTGTTGAAGGGTTCATGTATGCAGTAACAGCTGCTCTGATTAAACAGTAAGGGCTGGGAGCTAGAGAGAGCACAGCTGAGAGCATTTGGTGCTCTTCCTGAGGACCTGGGTTCAATTTCCAGCACTCACACAGCAGCTCAGAACCATTTTTAACTCTAGGTCCAGGGCCGCCTTCTGGCCTCTGTGGGCACCACACATGAATTCTACACAGCATATATTCATACATACCCATTTCTCAAAAAAATATAACAGCCATATTATGCCTGGAAGACAAGTGTTCCATGATATCATCTGTTCCCTTTTCTTATTTCGAGTAGGCCCAAGGCCTGCTTTTCTGATCATTCTGATCTAGGCAGGGAAGTAGCAAGTCGCCATCCATTATTTTTGTACCTGTAGCATTCCATCCAGTTATCTTATGTTGTATTATAGGGTCTCCTCTCCTAGCTGATTGTGTGAAGAGAACTTAAAAGGGACAACTGGAGTGAACAGTGTTGGTCATCAGGATGGGTTTTATAGTTCTATTAGGGCTTGTTTTTTTTTTTTTTTTTGTGTGTGTGTGTGTGTGTGTGTGTGTGTGTGTGTGCGTGTGGGTGTTTTGAGACAAGATTTCTCTGTAGTTTTGGAGCCTGTCCTGGAACTTGCTCTGTAGGCCAGGCTGGCCTTGAACTCCAGGAACCAGCCAACCCCTTTCACTACATCAGCCACCATTCCTTGTTGCAGCCTCTGCTGCTTGTCTTTCTCCCTGGGGATTCTATGTTCTGCAGGCATGGTGGTGACAACAGCCCACCCTTAAAGGAGATTTACAAGGGTTCTTTGTCTTTTATGTGTGTTTTTGTCAATGGCTTGCAACTAGGAGGACAGAATTGTACCTGTCACAGTTGTTGAGAGCAGGTTCTAGATATCTACTTATTGCAATCACGAGATTACAGTGGTCCAGGGGTAGTCCTGCTTTTCCTTTTGGCCAGACAGCCCAGCCAGAGTTACTGGTTCTGGCAGTGTTTTAAGATGGTGGTTATAAACACTGGTCCTGAGCTTCAAGGAAGCAGCTCCAGTGCACAGCTGCCGCCTTGATTGAGGTGCCTTGAGACACAAAGACTCTGGCAGTTACTTTTCTTGCTAGCTCTGCTCAGCTGTAAGGTGGGTGACACTATTTGGAGCCTTGAGGCAGTGAGCCAGGCAAACGGCAGGGCCAGGGAGAGCTGTTTACTTGGGTTGGGCTCCTGAACCTGTGCAGTTATTAAGGCGCTTGCTAAACAAAACCTTAGTAACAGCAGGTCTCTCAGGTACAGGGTGTTTTAAGAATGAGACAATGCCGTCATGGAGCAGCTGAGCACTATTTTTGGAGACTCTAGCCAAAGGTGGCTCAGCAAGGATGTTCTTGCTTCTGAACCAGGGATGGACAGCTGTGTTCTCAAGTATTATAGTTTGTATCAGGCTTTTTATGGCAGAGTGGGCTGACTCCATTCTGTTCAGCCCTACTCTTGGACTAACTTTCCTGACTTGACTCGGGTGCAGGGAACCCACACAACAATCATCTAGTTCACTTTTTCGTCTAGAAATATCTGTACATGGGCTCTGCCTTCTACTCTACAATGTTCACTAGGAGGTAGTTTCTGGTTCTACCAGAGATTCGAAGACTGTGGCCACAGCTAGGCTGTATGAGTCAGATGGAGCAGAAGAACTTACACAGGCCATTGATGTCCCCCCACCCCCACTTTCCTCACTAGCTCAAACCCAACCCCTTTCACTACATCAGCCACCATTCCTTGTTGCAGCCTCTGCTGCTTGTCTTTCTCCCTGGGGATTCTATGTCCTCCAGGCATGGTGGTGACAACAACCCATCCTTAAAGGAGATTTACAGGGTCCTTCATGCACTTTTTGTCACTGAATGTTCAAGCGCAAAGCCCTGGGGAGACAAGGCTCTGGGTCCTTGGTCAAGCCCCAAGACTGAAGAAGCCATTTGACAGACTCAAGGCTTTCTGAAATTCAGGCTCCACCCTTCCCTTCTTATGGAGCCTGATGGTGGCCCAGTGCTACAGAGAGGTGAGAATGGTGGACTAGTAAAGTACAGAAAACTTTTATTGGAAATCTCTTGATTATATTTCTAAGCTCTCATTTCCCAACAAAGCACTGGAGAAGGGGCCTCATAGCTACCTGGTCCCCGGCCTGAGCCTGGTTGCAGGAGCTAGTTTAGAGACTATCTTTTCCATTATGCAGGGCTGAAGGACACAGGCCACCCTGAAGGATGCTCTGCTCAACTTCCCTGGCCTCTTCCCTGATAGGTCTGGAACACAGGCTGATGCCTACAGAGGCCACTGGCTGAACCTTGCCAAGAATCCATGCTCTCATCCCACCCAGGGCTGGCTCTGGGAGCAAATCTGGTTCAGTAGGCCATGAATGTGCCTGATCCAAAGGCTGCAGTGTCATTTGGCCACCACTACTGAGCACATTTCTCTGTGGCAGCAGATGCATGCACAGGGGAAAGGCTCCAGTGATACATGCAGATTACTAAGAAGCAGTTCTGAGTCACCTGCTTCAATGAGTAACAGCTGCTGCCAGTGAAAATCAGGGACTGGAGAACGGGGCAGGCTCTCAGAGGCACTTGACTTACGCAAGCAATAATACCTGAAGGTTTAAGTCAACCATAAGCTCAGCTTTGGTTTCTCAAAAGGGAACCAATCCATCTTATAAACCCATATACAGACTCTGGAATTGGAAGGAGGGAGGAATAGCTCCCCAGTCCTGCTCTACCTAGAGCAGCAGGACAGACAGTGCTCCCTATGGCACCATGTCTCTTGAGGAGTCATCACATTGAACATACCCGACATTTCCTGGGGAGCTAGAACAGAGCCAGTCACTTTGCAGATGCTGTGTCAAGAAAAGATGCGCAGAGTGTACGGGAAGATTGATGTCAGTGCATTTCCACACGCGCAGCTTGAGGGGGTTCTCTGCCCCTGCTAGCCCCATTCCTCGTCTCTCCTTAGATGCAAGAGAAGATCCCCAGAGCAGCAGCACAGGTTCTGAGGAATCTTCACAGGAGGACACCCTCCTTCCCCAGGGACACTGCTAACCTCAAACACATTTTCTATAAAATATCTGATTTCTCTGAAAGTAATAAATATTTACCATGTCCTACATCCAAGGAGCAGCAACTGAGGGAGGATGGGGAGGAAAGAACCTTTCTGTGACTTTCATGAGGAATAGAAGGGATAGGAGGAGAGGGGGAGGGGAGAGTTGGGTGGTCCAGGAACGAACGGTGACACACAGCCCTCCTTTGCCCAGCTTGGTCTCCTTGCTCTTTCTGCCTTGCCCAGTGTCCCGCTACCAGCTGGAATGTCAGGTGGTTGATGATAAGGACAAGCAGTCAGGGGCCAGCTGCAGAGTAGACCAGGCAGGAGGCTGGCAGCCGAAGGAACAGGATGACACCCTTTGTGAAGCAGCTGAGGATGGTCCCTGCTGAAGCCCCTGTTATAGCCAGAGTCCATCCAAAGTCTGGCACTGGGTCTGACTGCTACCATGAGTCACCAGGAGGTTCAAGTGCAGGGACTTCTAGGTCCCACAGGGAACCACCCTGCCTTTCACCTGGCCAGAAACAGCAGGAAGGCGGCAGGGAGCTGCTGAGGAGGAAGAGGTTCTCTGCTGGGTCCACAGGAAGGGGGTGCTGCGGATACTCGGGACACTTTTACTGCAGGGTTTCGACAAAGGCATCAAATTCTCGGACATTCTTCTCATGCACAGCCAGCTTCTCTGGTAAGGAGTCCTGTAGCAAGGACAGGACAAGGCTTACTCCAGAAGGCCTGGGGAGAGGCAGCCAGTCTGCCAGAGTGAAAAAAGTGAGACAAAGAACTGGGCAGTGCCAGGCTGGATGAAAGGCAGGGCAGTTGAGCAGACTGAGATGAAGGAGGGGACACATCCTCAGAGTTTGGGAGGGGTGTCACTAGGCTGCACAGTAGCCTGGTGAGTCAAAGTGAACCAGAGCTCATGAGATAGGTAAACAATGACAAAAACAACAGTGAAAACACAAGCATGAAGCATCCTTTGTACAGAGCAGACAGACACTAGAATCAAATTGCACCTTTAGAGCTCAGTGAGCCGAGCAAGTTTTAAGAGGGGACCCTCCTGTACTTTGTGGGTGTCAAAAGGCCCTGGGGGAACAGGGCGGCCACTGACACAGGTCAATGGGAGATCGGACACCCTCATCTTAGCCTGGCTGGGGGTGTGGGGTGGCTGAAAGTCACTCACTACAAAAGAATCAAGAAGAACCATATGCTGCCAGCCTGTCCTGCAGCACCAAAAGACCTGGCCCTCCCGAGAGGCTGCCTCCATCGGGGCTAAGCAACACAAAGTACACCAGAAGGCTTTAAACTGCAGAGCAACTTCCCCAAAGCATAAGGGAAAAGCTGGTGTGCCTTAGACACTGAAGTGGTTTGGACACCCTAACATCTGAGGCAAGTCTGGTGGCCACTGCCAAGGTGGAAGGCAAGCCTCAGCTAGCACT